TCAGGGAGGTATGCGGGTAGGCGGATGAATATTCGTACCCTGGGGATGCGCCTGTGGTCGGATATACCATCTTCTGTCCGGCTTATGGGATACTACGTCCGGGTGTATAATGCCCGGCAGCGCCGTACCTGTTTCTGGTGTGGCCTGTTGGGGCATCAGGCTGCCGGGTGCACTGGGGCTCCGGTTGTTCCAGTCAACTTGTTCCGGGAGGAGGATTTCCCGCCGCTCCCTCTAGAGGAGGACTCCGGGGGTGAGGAAGTGAGTGTCCCGTTAACTGCTGAGGCTTCCCTGCGGCACCCGTCCTTCCTTCAGTTGTTGCGTACCCTCCTCAGGGTGTTGCCGTGCCGTCGGATGTTCTTCCTGATCCTGTCGCTGTCCCCGCTGCTCGCATAGGCCTTCCAGGCGATTTCTGTGAGTAGTCAGTTCTCTCCTCTTCCTCGTCTTCTGCCCCTACGCCTGGCCCTGCACCCTCGCTTTGTGTTCCGACTGTGCTGGATATTGGGGTGGTCGATGCGCCTCCTGCTGTGTGCGGTCTGGTTCCCCCTGTGGTTGAGGCTGCCGTCTTGCGTCATGCATCAGTCCGCCTGGCTTGTGGGGCCCGTGCTTCTGGATCCACTTCCAGCTCTGATGATGTACGACCGGTGCCCAAGTGTTCCCGGCGTTCGTCTTCTGCCTGGGCAGATGTGGGTGACTTCAGTGACGGTGAGGCTTCAAGTGTCGAGGAGGTGGTTCAGGGCGCCTCGCATTCCGCGCGGTTGGTGGTGGCGGAGATCCATGCGCCTGGTGATGCTGGTGATGTAGGCGCCCGTCTCTCTGAGGTGCCTTTGGTTCTGCCTCCGGCAAACGGTTCTCCACGGTGGGATGTGGTAGCTCCTCTTCTGTCGATGCGGTGGGTACTGGTGCTTGCCGTGGCATCGTCATAGTGCTGCAGAAGGATGCCCGCCGTGGGAGGTCCCAGGGGACGCATCACGTCGTGGGTAGTGAGGCGGCCTGTGCGGAGCCCGAGGTGGGTCCTAGTGGCTGCACTGGTGCGCCCCCTGGTGTGCCTCTGAGTATGCCGTCTTGTACCAGGCCTCCTGGAGTAAAACCCTTTCCTGTCGTCTTGGCCTCCGGGGACGTGTATACTTTTTCCACTGTGCGTTTTCACACAATTGAGCGCGTGCTCCTGGTTCCGTGGGATCCTACTTGCGTTTGGGTTCCGCGAGGACGGTGTTTTATCCAGGGTGTGCCGGACTTAATGCCTCGGCCGGATGTGGTTTATGGTCCTCAGGTTCCGGAGAACACCCAGTTGCTTTGGGAGGCGTATTGTTTACGGTTCCGGCATCTCAGTATCCGGAAAAGTATCAGTAGTCCGTGCTCTGTTTACTCGGTGCCTACGTGCACGGGGGGGTGACGTTGTGTGTGTGCATGTGGATGTTTCCTCCTGGACTCTTCGTGGGCCTGTTTCGGTTTGTTTGTGCTATTGGTGCGCTTGTTTGTGTTTTGCTGAGGCCCTTCGGGCTGCTTCTTTGCTTATTCCTGTCTTGTTTTTTTTCTGGATATTGCCTGTGTTTCCTTTATGTATATATTTTCTTTGTTTTTTGTGTGTATTGTTTTGTATTGCACTTTGCCATATTATCTTGTTACTGGTGCTTCATGTTCCTGTTTTGCTGGCGGCCCTTCAGGCCGGTGCGTCTATGTTCTACTATGTTCTGATTTTTTGTCGTTCTTTGCTTGCATGTTTATATTGTATTCTGTTTTATTGTATTTAATTGCATGCGTGCATGTAAAAATAAAAAAAATAAAAAAACTTATGGATGGTTGGGGATTGAACACCGACCTGCAGGAAGCGAGACCATCGCTCTACCGTCCACCCCAAGTATTATGGGAGGTATTCTTATATAAACTGCTTGATGACCCTCGAGATTACTGCTCCTGTGTGCAAATAATTGCAGTCAGCAACACACAATGCATGATTATGTCGAGAAAATGGAGTTTGCATGCAAGCAACTGTCAATGTTTCTTGCAAGACCACAGAGTTCTCAAAACGTTAGCCATTTGTGTGTCAGTTGTGATGAGTATTACTCTCTAAGATCACACTGCCCGCTGGTGTAAGTCACCTGATGTAACTAGTTCATCACTGTAACTAGTTTATCACTGTAACTAGTTCATCACTGTAACTAGACCAGCACTGTAACTAGTTCATCACTGTAACTAGTTCATCACTGTAACTAGTTCATCACTGTAACTAGTTCATCACTGTAACTAGTTCATCACTGTAACTAAGTCATCACTGTAACTAGACCATCACTGTAACTAGTTCATCACTGTAACTAGACCAGCACTGTAACTTGACCATCACAGTAACTAGACCATCACTGTAACTTGACCATCACTGTAACTTGACCATCACTGTAACTTGACCATCACAGTAACTAGACCATCACTGTAACTTGACCATCACTGTAACTTGACCATCACTGTAACTTGACCATCACAGTAACTAGACCATCACTGTAACTTGACCATCACTGTAACTTGACCATCACTGTAACTAGACCATCACAGTAACTTGACCATCACAGTAACTAGACCATCACTGTAACTTGACCATCACTGTAACTTGTCCATCACAGTAACTAGACCGACACTGTAACTAGACCATCACTGTAACTTGACCATCACTGTAACTTGACCATCACAGTAACTAGACCGACACTGTAACTAGACCATCACTGTAACTAGACCATCACTGTAACTAGACCATCACTGTAACTAGACCATCACTGTAACTAGACCATCGCTGTAACTTGACCATCACTGTAACTAGACCATCACTGTAACTAGACCATCACAGTAACTAGACCATCGCTGTAACTTGACCATCACTGTAACTAGACCATCACAGTAACTTGACCATCACAGTAACTAGACCATCACTGTAACTAGACCATCACAGTAACTAGACCATCACTGTAACTAGACCATCACAGTAACTAGACCATCACTGTAACTTGACCATCACAGTAACTTGACCATCACAGTAACTAGACCATCACAGTAACTAGACCATCACAGTAACTAGACCATCACAGTAACTAGACCATCACAGTAACTAGACCATCACAGTAACTAGACCATCACTGTAACTAGACCATCACAGTAACTAGACCATCACTGTAACTAGACCATCACAGTAACTAGACCATCACTGTAACTTGACCATCGCTGTAACTTGACCATCACCGTAATTAGATTTTCACTGTAACTAGTCCCTCATTGTAACAAAGTAATCACGATAATTAGACCATCACTGTAACAACTTCATCACTTTAACTAGATCATTACTGTAACCAGATCATCCCAGTAATCAGATCATATCTGTATTAGATCACTGCTGTAATTTTAAGATTGATCATTAAGGTACAGTTGGTGAACTACATTATGTCACTCTGAGGCCCGTGATGTGCTGCTCACTGAGTGAGGGTTAGGTTAGTCACGGCAGTAGTCTGGTAGATGTAGTGGTCTTAAAGCAATATGCGAGATTACCTCATAATCTGAAATGACGTGACATTGGCTCACGAAAGAGATTTACTTTCCCGTTTTCTGTTTTGGGTGCTCCGACTTACTCGGTTAGGTTAGGAGAGGGAACATTCATTTAACGGTTTTCATGATGTTTTGAAACCTTAGGAGAACTTCCTGCCTCCCTAACCTACCAGAGGACCCTTAACTTGCTGTTTTGGAAAAAAAAATCTAAAATTTATTTTCAATTTTTTTAATTTTCAAATTACGTAATTGCCCAAATTAATTACTTTTTGCCCATACGGGCAAACGGCAAAATTCAGACGTAATTTGTAAGAGGACAGGTTGGATCTGTCTCAACATGCAGGTCGGCGTTCAATCCCCGACTGTCCAAGTGGTTGGGCACCATTCCTTTCCCCCCGTCCCATCCCAAATCCTTATCCTGACCCCTTCCCAGTGCTATATAGTCGCAATAACTTGGCGCTTTCCCATGATAGTTCCCTTCTCTCCCCCTCCACTCCTCACCTCTTCTTTCCCCCCCTCTCCATACATCCCCCCCCCTCTTCCCTCCCACCCTCTCTCTCTCTCTCTCTTATCTTAATCTTCACACCCCACATCTGTTCCATCCTCCTTCCCTCTTGCCCTCTCATCTTCCAGCTCTCCCCTCCCTCACCTCCCTCACCTCCCTCACCTCCCTCACCTCCCTCACCTCCCTCCCCTCCCTCACCTCCCTCCCCTCCCTCACCTCCCTCCCCTCCCTCACCTCCCTATCTCATCTTCTCTACAACCTCCAACAGTCAGATATTTCATTTATATATTTATATCACGGGTACCCGGCTGGTCCGTCTCCCGCTTGAGCCCTTCCTCCTCCCTCTCTTCCCTTTTCCTTCCCCTCTCCCCTCCTCCTTCCCCTCTTCCCTCCTCCTCCCTCTCTCCCCTTTTCCTTCCCCTCTCCCCTCCTCCTTCCCCTCTTCCCTCCTCCTCCCTCTCTCCCCTTTTCCTTCCCCTCTCCCCTCCTCCTTCCCCTCTTCCCTCATCCTTCCCATCTCCCCTCCTCCTTCCCCTCTTCCCTCATCCTCTCCCCTCCTCCTCCCCCTCTCCTCGCCTCCTCCCCTTCTCCCATAAAATGTATTGTTAAGAAAAACAGAAACTACTGTATGGATCTCCAGAAAAATATATTACTACGATCACTAAAATTCTGGGAGATTCACTCCAAATATTTCAAATTTGATCCCATCAAAATCGCATGGGGGTCTCTATAATTGTTAATATTTGTTAAAGCTTTTTATTTGTGCCAGCCCCCGACCAGCGAATGTCCGCACCGAACCCCAACCCTGCAAAGTTGTGAACGGCTAACCCCAAGCGTCTGGCCTTCGACTTTGGACAGACAAACATTCTCGTAGTATAATAGATTAGTTAATAGACCAGAATAGAGATGAATGATAAGCTAAGTAGCAAGGTAATCAAGAAAACCAACAGAAATAGAGGGTGGCTCCTACCTCCTCCACAACGGTGGTCTTGTAGATGGAGTGGTCGTAGTTCCAGTGGTGGCAGGTGGTGGTGGAGACATTGGTCGGGAGGTCCGGGAGGGCATCACCAGAGAGGGCGCCGCTCGCCACCAGCTGGTCCCAGTCCCTGACATAGTAGCTGCAGGAGGAGTACTTGCCCGCACCCCCGCCCTCCTCCACCTCCCTGCCAAGGTGGTCCACAAATGTTATAGTTAGTGCTTCTAAGGATGAAGAAGGAGTAAGAAAAGCAGAGAGACAAGTAGAGAGAAGAGGGAGAGTAATTAAAGTAAAATTATTTCAGCGTATTGGAATTTAAAGCAACGATTTTGCTTTTAAAATACAGGGAAATACAAATTACATCCAAAGTATTTAATTTGATACTTAATAAAAACTGCTTAAAAGAGTACATACGCATATATATGTGTCAATTAAAGTTAAAGCGTGTGTGTTTGTTTGCTTGACTGTCCAAGGTTGGAGGCCAGATGTCCGGGTATACCTTTACCCAACTTTTCACGATGACACACAGGTGGTGTGTGACTCTCATAAGGTCATCGTGGTTGGCGACAGTACTTCGTTTCGTTAGCACCTACTCTCTCAGTCTATATATAGGCTGTGTCTGCCACACTTTGAGGTATTTTAATCAATGAACAAATCGACAAGGGCCGTGACAAAGATTTGAACCTAGGTCCGAGATCATCCCAGACGCTGCCTTAATCGACTGAACTACGACATGGTCAAAAGAATTGAAACCAGAAGTTCTACTGGACTTACTTAGATCCTGCAGCCTCTCCGAGACACAAACCAGGGTTTTACACAACTCCCCCATGCACTAAGGATGATCTCGGACGTAGGTTCGAATCCTCGTCACGGCCCTTGTGGATTTGTTCATTGATGCATCACGCTATTGTGATTTCTGTGTGTAATTTTAATCAATACATTGGTCTTCTGTAATTCTCTTATGGGTTGTAGATCAGCCATGAACACGTTGTCACTTTCCAGTGAAATAATATCACAATACAATCCTGGTACTGTATTTGTTTGCCTCCTCCAATGAAATCCCTTTAAAGCTGCAGTTACTTTAGACAAGCAGTGCCACTCCTCATCTCGTCTGAAGTCCGTCACCTTGCATTACCTGCCATTTCCTTGGGAAAATTAAGAGTGTAAATCATATCACTTAATTTAGTTTCAACTATTGCAATCACATTGGGGTTTGTATTGTCAACTATTTGAGTTTCTCTGTTTTATTTGACAGTCCATCAGCATTGGTGTACCTGATCTTCTTTTCATTGTTATCATGTCCTGACGGTGGATTGTGTTTTGGTGAGCGAGGAGGTTCGGAATGGATTCAGGTGAATTGGTAGATCGGGGTTAAAGATGGTGCAAAGTTAGCGAGATAGACTGATGGGTGGATGTCTGAGAAGTAGTGGAATGCAGTAGAGAGTGTGGTGTATTGGGAATTTGAGGACATGGAACTAGGAGAGGAAAATATGTGTTATCGAGAGATGGAATTCTAAGTGGAAATGTGGGAGGACGGAGTATGGGCCGTAGATGGTCAATGGGTGGCAGTATGTGGGTGGAATGGCGATATATTCTATTGGTGGTTGATTCTATTGGTTGATTGATGGTGGACGGCATTTGATATTGGGGATGCATTAGGGTTACTGGGATGGGATTTCTGACATGTTTTGTCTTGGGAATGTTGTAAAGGTGGTGCTCTGGTTTTGTGTTTCGTGTCAGTTGTGGCAGCTGAGTATATCTATGTGATGTTAAGAGATTATACTGAGGCTTTTTCGTTATACTAATGTTCGTTTATCTTTGTAATATTTCGCTTCTATGAGGTTGATGCTCTCGCAATTACTGGGGGTTGTAAGTACTTCTTGTCTCTGTCTGCGTCTGTCTTCTCCCGGACAACTGTCCAATCTTCTTTCTTCATCCCTCTCCATGACCTGCCCCTTCGTTATTGTATCTTCATCTTTATTTCCTATAAATATCGTTCTCCAAGTAAGCCATTTTAAGTTATTTTATTGCAGTGAGATATCTTTCACAGTTCATCAGGGTTCTTGGAGCGGCTTCATTTGTAAATGCCAGCATTTGTAGTTCAATTTTCCGGTTATCATCTGCAACAGTCAATGACCCTAACCTAACCTAACCTAACCTAACCTAACCTAACCTAACCTAACCTGTTCACTTCACTAAATATCTCTCAACCTTTCGAAATGCAGCCGTCAAGACATCACCAGTGGTGTCTCTCTTCAGATGCATTTGGGCAGTCAGTCTTTGTTTCTCTTATATCCGTTAGTCCCTGAATGATCAGAGGTCGCTCGTTTTGAATGATCCTTCTTATAAATTACTTAATTATGTGTGTACTCACCTAGTTATACTCACCTAGTTGGGCTTGCGGGGATTGAGCTCTGGCTCTTTTTGGTCCCGCCTCTCAACTGTCAATCAACTGATGTACAGATTCTTGAGCCTACTGGGCTCTATCATATCTACATCTGAAACTGTGTATGGAGTCAGCCTCCACCACATCACTACTTAATGCTTTCAATTTCTTAACTACTCTGACACTGAAAAAATTCTTTCAAATATCTCTGTGGCTCATTTGGGAACTAAGTTTCCACCTGTGTCCCCTTGTTCGTGTCCCACCCGTGCTGAAGAGTTTGTCTTTGTCCACCCTGTCAATTCCCCTGAAAATTTTGTAGGTGCTTATCATGTCTCCCCTTACTCTTCTGTTTTCCAGGGATGTGAGGTTCAGCTCCCTTAGCCTTTCCTCGTAGCTCATACCTCTCAGTTCCGGGATAAGTCTAATGGCATACCTCTGAATCTTCTCTAACTTTGTCTTGTGTTTAACTAGGTATGGACTCCAGGCTGAAGCTGCATACTCCAGGATTGGTCTTACATAAGTAGAAAACAAGATCCTGAACGATTCCTTACACATGTTTCTAAAGGCAGTTCTTATGTTGGCCAGTCTAGCATATGCCGCTGATGATATTCTTTTGATGTGGGCCTCTGGGGACAGGTTCAGTGTGATATCAACCCCCAGATCTTTCTCTCTATTTGACTCTTGCAGGATATCACCTCCCAGATGGTACCATGTGTTCAACTTCCTGTTCCCTTCGCCTAATTTCATTACTTTACACTTTCCTGAATTGAACTTTAGTACCCATTTTCTAGACCATTCCTCCAGTTTTCCAGGTCGTTCTGTAGTCTTTGTTTATCTTCATCTGTCTTGATTCTTCTCATAATTTTTGCATCATCAGCAAATATTGAGAGGAATGAGTCTATACCCTCTGGAAGGTCGTTTAATTATATTAGAAACAGGATGGGTCCAAGTACTGAGCCCTGTGGAACCCCGCTGGTGACATCTCGCCACTGAGATGTCTCTTTCCCTCACAGTTGCTCGCTGTTTCCTGTTGCTTAGATACTCCCTTGTCCACTGGAGCTTCTTACATTTTACTCCTGCCTGTAGCAACAACTTCTGTAACAGCCTTTTGTGAAGTACTGTGTCAAAGGCTTTCTGACAGTCCAAGAAAATGTGTGTATGTGTGTGTGGTTGGGGGGGGGGGAGGGTGCAAGGTACTAAGGTAAACAGGGGAGTGTGTACAAAGCGCAGAGTTTACCAACCATGGGATAGAGATGTTGCGGAGGTCAAGGGTGGTGTTGACACCCTCCAGGCCTGGCACCTGGCACCAGTGGTCAGGACTGGCACACAGGAACACTGCAAAACACACAAGAAAGAATATCTTAACACACTAGCAGTGTTTAGTCTGTTTTGCATTGTTATTTACTTGTTTATTTTGGGAGAAAACTTAATCATTTTAGAGTTTAGATGACCCGGCGCCCAGGTTGTGTTGGAAGGCAACCCCCGGCGTTATAAAGCTCAGAGAACCTTGTAAAGTTGACTATTCAGTTCACGAAGCTGGTGGCGGCCGCGAACCTCTTTATCCTCCAGATGTTTTACAGCATTTTTATATTTTATTAAATTTTTCGTCATATTTCAATAAATACTTCCCCCCCCCCTTCCCTGCCCCACCTGTGTCTGAATGAGTGTGTGCGTGTTCGTGTGTTCTCTGATCAGCCAACTTGTGCGGTAGTTGTTGACTCTAGTTTCTGTTGTATATGTATATGTAAAGTTATTATTTTTTTGTAGTTGAACATCTGCATATGTTCCCGAGTTTTGTAATTTACTTATGTATATTTTATGTTTTCTTTTCATTACCCGGAGACTATTAAACATATACATTTAGGTTGGTATTGTTTAGCTGACCTGTGGAGACGGCGAGAGAACAATCTTCACTGGTCTCTGGGTATCTGTAAGGGTCATACGTTGTGTGTGTGTGTGCTCTGTCTGAGTAATAGTATATTTGGGATATCTGTCATATCTATTGTCTTCGTACCAGTAAGAAAAGTTATGTGGAACAGAGTTAAATACGTGTTGTCACTAATTCTCAAATTGTAACTCCTATGTTGAAGTGACATAATAGTAGATCCGTTTTGGGACTCTGTCATATTTTGATGCCTGTGTGGACTTAAACTCTGTAGAGGAGATTCATGATTTATTCAAAATTCAAGGTTTGTGAATTTTAACTTTTGAGTGGAGATTGCTGACACATTTTTCAGTGATTGTGAACTCTGACTTTTGAAGTCGATTAATTGACTTTGCCATTTGCCAATTCAGTTGGGACTTAGTTTTTCTGAAGACAAAGTGATAGTTCACTGACTTGTGTTAATTAATGTTCATGCTGCGACATTACCCCCCCCCCCCACTGGTTATGTAACGTTACCACCCACCATGTCTATGACTTAGCAGCCAGTCTTAAGCTGTCTAGTATTCCCATGTTATTATGTTATCTTTGCTTAGTGACATCTAGCTGCTGTGATTTGTTCCTTGTGTTTACTCACTTGATTGTTACTTGGTTGTGGGTATGTATATATATTTTGTAAATAAGCTGTGTCATGTAGATAAGTTCGCCCCAGTAAACTGGTGGATTTTATTTAGACTTTCACTCAATCCTAGACATTTATAACTTACACATTTGAGGCCAGGCAGTTCACTGATTTCTGAGGGAAAGTTGTATTCCACGAGCCTTGTTTGACAGCATGGCATAACAACCCCCAATCCCCAGTGTCTAAACCTCACCCCAATCTCAAGCCCCTGAACCTCACGCCCACCTGTCTCCTCCTCCACCTCTTCCTTCTATTTTCCAAAATACCTGTCAATAGCTCACAATCAACTGGACCCAAATTCGTTTCCTGGGCAAGGCGCGACATTTGGGCACGTTTCCTGCACCTAATACCTATTTTTACCAAGCAATACATAGTTCCTGAGAGGCGACTGCTGTGGGTTCCATCATGGGGAAGGTTAGTCTAGGTCCTAGTGAAACCTTACTGAGGCTAAATGGCTTCCTTACTCCAACATTCGGAAATAATTATTGTTTAAACCCGTTCTATACTGGTGTTTATACGCCACCCTCAGTCCCCATGCACTCCCTCACACCTCCCCCCATGCACTCCCTCACACCTACCCTCCCCCCCACATAGAGAGGATAGATCGACACTGAACAACAAATGAGGGGTGGATGCAAGGTAAGTGCTGGTCAATAGATGTTGAGAAATAATCTCATGGTACAACTTTCAATACTCAGGTTTCTTTCTCAGTTTGGCAATTTATGCCATGAATTGACAGTAAGGCATGATATAGTTGGTAGATACGTCTTTATGGTTGACTTTCCATGGTTGGCTAGTAGTGAGATATGTGACTAGAACCGTCCCCTCCACAAAGAGAACCTCAAGGATCGAACTCGGCCCTAGTCAAAATTGAGTGTGGGAGTCCGTCGAATGGGACGGGGTGCATCAGGGGGGACGTTGTGGGTCACAGAGGGTAAAATGTATGGGACGGGTACCGTCAGGGAGGACGTTATGGGTCATGTTGGGGTAAGAGAGTGATCAGAAAACGAACGGGATCCGAAAATGCGCGGACGTGATCCCAAAATGCGCGGACGTGATCCCAAAATGCGCGGACGTGATGCAAAAGGGAAGTCCGTAGATGGGGACGGGGTGCGTCAGGGGGGACGTTGTGGGTCATGTAGGTAGAATGTGTGTGTAGGGGTACGAGGGGTAGGGTGGGATAAGTAATGAGGGAGGTATACATCAACAAGTTGATAATGTGAGAGAGAGAGGGAGGAGGGGGGATGCTCCCACATGGTGTGGGATGGGTTGCGGCATGTGGGACGTTGTGGGTCATGTAGGGTGAAAGTGTAAGTATAGGAACAGGTGTGGTGAACAGGTAAGCAATAGTAGTAGATGAATATGTATGAGTATGTGCCGTAGAGTTAATCGTGTGTAGATATATAGTTAAATAACAGTATGTAGGATATGTTGAGGAGGTGTAGAGGGCCCCCCTACCCCTGACAGGGTAGGAGACCGAGCTTTAAAGATGGGTGGTTAGGGGTAGGGCACGTGAAGGAGGATAAGGGGAGAGGGGAATGGAGGTTCTCAGTGGTGAGAATCTCTGGTCCGGTTTGGAGTGGAGATTGGTTCAACTAAAAATAAGCACACATGAAATGATTTCGACGTTCAGTAAACACTTACTGAGCGGTTAAGTGAATGCCTGAGACCCCAATACAGGGTTAATGATAGTAATATTTAATTTAAGATGGAAAAACTTTAAACTAATCAGAAATGAGCCCACACGAAGTGATTCCCACGGTCAGTAAACACTTACTGAGTTGTAAACTGAATGTCTAATTCAGCCAATACATGGTTGATGATACTAAAATTTTAAGATGGGGAAACTTTAAACTAAACTAAATGATCACACATGAAGCGATTTCCACATTCAGTAAACACTTACTGAGTTGTACTGAGCCACCCAATACAAGGTTGATGATAGTAATAGTATTTTATTTTACGATAGAAAAACTTTAAACCAAAAATGAGCTCGCGTGAAGTGATTTCTATGTTCAGTAAACACTTACTGAGTTGTAAACTGAATGCCTGGGTCACCCAATACAAAGTTGATGATAGTAGTATATAATTTAAGATGGAGAAACTTTAAACTAAACTAAAATGACCACACGCGAAGTGATTCGCACCTTCAGTAAACACTTACTGAGTTGTAAAGTGAATGTCTAAGGCACCCAATACATGGTTGATGATGATGATAGTAATATTTTAAGATGGGAAAACTTTAAAATAAACTAAATGACAACAAATGAAGTGATTCCCACGTTCAGTAAACAATTACTGAGTTGTTAACTGAATGTCAGAGCCACCCAATACAATGTCGATGATAGAAGTATTTTATTTTACGATGGAAAAACTTTAACCTAAAAATGAGCTCACATGAAGTGATTTCTAAGTAAAGTATGCATTTATTGAGTTGTAAACTGAATGCCTGAGCCACTCAATACAGGGTTGATGATAGTAGAATTTAATTTAATTTAAGATGGGATAGCATATTAGTCTTCAGTTCACTGTTGCTGTTTGACTGACTGACTGCCTTTACTGAGTTACTGACCTATGGTAAAAGCTATTTCATCAAGTCGGTCGGAGAATTTAATCTAAAAGTTGTCCTATCCCCATAGCATTTTAGAGTCTTCAGTCCACTGTAATAATTACTGTTTGCCTGACTGACTGACTGACTGCCTTTACTAAGTTACTGAGTTATGGTAGAAGCTATTTCATCAAGTCGGAAAAAATTTAAGACTGGTAGACATCTTTTAAGATGTAAAATGTTTCCCTCGTTCAGTAAACGCTTACTTACTGACTTTGACTGAGTTTACTGAGTGATGCTGCTAATGATTTGATTTGATAGAAAGAAAAATTTGAAGACTGGTAGACACCTTTTAAGATGTAAAAGAAAATGTTTCCCTCATTCAGTAAATGCTTACATACTGACCTTGACTGAGTTTACTGAGTGATCCTGCCACTGATTTGATTTGATAGAAAGAAAAAAATTGAAGACTGGTAGATTGGGGCATGATCATCCCCAATACCTCCCCCCATCTCAGTACACCTCAAACCTCCAGCCCAGATGTGTGTAATGGCGAAGCTTCCAGGGTTTGATCTAAAAATGACATATATTCATTCAGTAGTGGAAACACTTACCCGCAAGTCTCCCAGTGCTGCTGGCTCTAGAAGTTGTGTTTCCCACATTCAGTAAACGCTTACCTACTGACTTTGACTGAGTTTACTGAGTGATGCTAAATGCGGAGCAGTAGTTTGATTAGATAGAAGAAAACTGAAGACTGGTAAGCGATGAGGCTCGTTACTCAGAGTGAAAGCAAAATTATATATACCTCAGGCTATAGTCGTTATTTGTTGGGAATATAGAGACATGCGTGTAAGCCCCCCTCAACCTCGGAGGGGAAGATGTAAACAGACTTGAGTGATAGGTGTATGGGGGTGGGGGACCTGCTGGGTATGGTGTGTGGTAACGAGTCATTTAGTCCAGTTATGTGTCAAGCTCCCAAGAGGTTACCCGCCGCCCCGAAGCCTTCCTCCTCGGCCAAATTATATATAAAGGGTTTACGCCTTTAACAATTTATTGTCTGGTGAAAGACATACAAGACCACAGGCTGATACATGCCCATGATATTATTATTAATATTATCGTTGTAAATCGCTTAAGTGTTAAATAAAAGAATAAATTTATATAATGTGTTTACTTTTTCCCTCGTTTATTGTGGACTGAGGAAATGTGAAGTGTGGAATTGT